GCATTCCGTCGTCGTCGGTCTTCACCGACGTGACCGCCGTCAACTCCACCGTGTTTCTGTGTCGCTTCTCCTTCGTCTTGTTATCCACGGATTTCCGTAGCTCGTGGTTATCCGGAACATCGGCAATCGGCGATTGGTTCACGATCGGGACATGGCGAATTCGCTCCTCCGTCGATTCGACCTCGTCGGGCTTGCTCGCGTCCGGGAATTCGTGACAACAGTGTATTATCACCGGGGCGGGAATATCGTACCAGATCGCGGTGGAATTACCGTTGTTACCGTTGCCGTTGTCGTTCCCATTGCCATTCCCGTTGCCGTTCAAAAGCGACAATTTCCTGACCGATTTCAAAGTAGCCCATGCGTGCTTCGCCTCTTCCATTTTTCTCTCGCGCCATCCACCAGCCGAATTATCTAGCGCGTCTTCCCTATCGATCCTCGTGCTTCGCCATAGAACCGCACAGGCTAATGTTTATACCGTTAATCGAAAACCGTAAAACCGTGATAAAGTCGATCAACGTAACACCTATTCGCGTTACGACCATTATTCCTCGATGGCTATCGCCGTCCTATTTACGTCCATCGCTGTCCGGTCACTGTTTACGACTATGCGTATCACTTTTTTTCCTTCCATGCACTCTTGGCCCGTTAATACCGCACACCGATCGTATCGAGTTCGCGGACGATTCTTCGCGGAAATTTTATCGATCGAATCACGGTAGACGAATTTTTGTCGCGACCACCACGCGACCACCACGTGACCACCGCGCGATCCTTTTCCCGTATACGCGATTCGAATCGATCGACTCTGCTCCCTGAACGACCAACGTCGTCGCGACGTTACTCGATCCCATTTCTGGCGAAACTTCGATCTCGTTCGAGCTCGGTCTAAAGTCGTGCGGAATCGAGAATTCGTCGGGACTCTCCGTTTGGCAAATTCCCAGAGTACGCGATGCACTCGTGCTCCGTCGATCGAGAACCTCGATTCTCGGTTGTTACGTCGACCGAGACGCACGCTCTGCGCGCCTGCTTTTCCGCGCGAGAGAAATTTCGAATCCCGCGTATCGAGCAACGGCCGATCGATCGAGTTTACGAGTTATCGCGCCAACGATCGATCAACGTTTCGAGAGCGTTTCGGGAGTGTTTCATCGGCGCTTGGAAAGTATCCCGCTTCGGTCGCACCTCGCGCTCGAGTTCGCGTTACGTAAACGATTCATCGGTGCTTATCGTCCAGCTTTTGTGTCCTAACTTCGCCAACGATCGTTTTTCCAGCTGCTGTCCGTCCTCCGGCTGCCCATTCGCCGCACGGTCAATCCGTGCAGCCTCTGCATAGGCGAACGAGAGAATAGAAGAGATCCGACGTTGATTCACGCGAGGGACGACACACCCGACGAAACTGTCATGTCGCGCAATTCTCCGGTTACCTCCGCGGAACGTCCGACTTGCCTATTGGCTAAATTCCGTGCTTCCGCGGCTGTTCGTTTCGTATTCGACTCACGCGTGTCGCGATGTAATTACTGGATGGTGGGCAGACGTCTCGGTCTCCATTTCGTCGTCGATTCCGTCGTCGATTCCGTCGTCGATTCCGTCGTCGATTCCGTCGTCGATTCCGTCGTCGATTCCGTCGTCGATTCCGTCGTCGATTCCGTCGTCGATTCCGTCGTCGATTTCGTCGTTGATCGCGCAAACGCTCGAGGAGGGAACGCGTGGCGAAGCGACGTGGCAAAGGGAATGGCGGGAAAGAACGAGTTACGCGCGATTAACCGCGTTAAACGGAGATCCGCGATATTAGAAGCAACGTTGAAGGCACGAATGGTGAGAACCGATTCACCGTGTGACACGACGTCGGCTCGCGCTACACGGCAACTACCGGCGCCTAGGTGCATAGGTACGCGTTTATGCACCGGTCGAATCGCGCGGATAGAGAAACGCGTAACCGATTCAAGGTTAATTGTCCGGCGATCGACGAGCGACGAGCGACGAGCGACGAGCTACGACCGTTTCCGGCAACGCGAGTCGACCCGGGGTAAAGAATGCCCTCGTGATCGCGATGCTGGCGCGACGACGCCTCGGTCGTGACTGGATTCACGCTGGAAGCCGTATTATACAACAGCGTCGAACAATTATATCCATATTATGTTGCGTACACGCGTATTACACAACCATGCAAACAGCGCACCGTACCGTACCGCACCGTGCCTCCGCGTAAAAATAAGTCACAACTGTCTCGCGTGAAAATTTAATCCCGCCAACGACGGTGTCCCATCCTGGCCAACGCGTTGTAAATCATCGTCGCGAGAGACACGTTCACGCGGTATGATTTCGAATAAAGCTCGATTGTACGCGATTCGAGATTCCGCGTATACGTAGCCCGATCCGCCGACTAGATGACGAGTTATTTTTCCTATCTCGTGCCTGCTCGCGGATTCCAGTCTCGTCGATGACGAAGCGCGTTCGTTCGACTCGTTGCTCGTGATTCGGGAAAATCGCGATATCGGTTAACGACGGCTGATACCGGCGGCCGAAACGAGAGCCAGAGAATAAAAGAGAAGAAACGAAGCGCGATGCATCGCGGGCACAGTAGCACTAATAGTGGAACACAGGCGGGATACGCGTGGTAGCAGGGCGTAATGCTCCGAAACGAATGCGAGAAGGAGTAGCAGAGGTTGTTTGAGCGAGCAACGCGAGTTTCTAGGCGGGAGGTTGTTCTTTTCCTTCGCCACTTATATTTAGCTTGTTTCCGCGCGACACTCGCGCGTTACCGAAACATGGTGTGCACGTGCGACCGGTCCGCTCCTATATACCGTCGATATACCCTCGCTATACCCGTGCTATACCGTCGCGCTCGTAAACTACGTAACAGCTCGCGACACGACCTCGCGGACACCCGCTCGCTCGCTGCATTGTCGTTCGCCGCTTGCGTTTCTCCCATTGCACGCGCGCAATTTTTGCCACCGGCTCGTAACCGAGATTCTGCTATAACGGGTTATCGACCTTGCGATACTTCGCCATCCCGAAACATTATCACCTTTACGAGGAAAGTTCCAACCTTGCCGCGGCTCTAGCCACGCGTCATCCTCGATCATTCGCCTACGATTTTCGGATCCAGCGTCCCCGCCTCCAATAGTAAATCTTCGCGCGTTTAACGTCCGATCGTTAACGCGCCAACGCGTAAAATACGACCGCGATCCGCGATAACCAAGTACGCGTATTAAACGGAACTTATTTCTCGTAAGACCCGCTCATCTCGCGATTCTCGGCGTCGATGGACCGGTGACGCGTTACGGCCGAATTATCCGCACCTGTTCTCTCCTCGTGTCAGCTGCTTCCGTCAAGTCGATCGACTGGAAACTGTTATTTCCCGACTACGTTTCCACGCCGTTATTTTTCCCTCGGTGCGGGAATTAATCGGTTCGATGACTGACGGAATACGCGTCGTCGAAGAAGGAAACGTTGCGAAAGTTTCCTTTCGTTCGCGTTTCCAAAGACAGAGGAGAACCGACGACGAGGAGAAAAGACGCGGGGCTGTTTGCGAGAAAAGAAAGCGTAAAAATTCGATTCGTTGGAAAAGAATGGATTAGGAAAGGACGACTGGAAGCGAGGCCGCTGTCTCGCTTAACGAAACACCGATCGTGTTTTACGGTGTTTTACGGTGTTTTACGGTGTTTTACGGTGTTTCTTGCTGATCGTAGGCTGGTCGTAGGCTGGTCGTAGCAGGTCGTCGCAGGTCGTGCGGACGAAAAGAGGAGAAGCCTTACGACGTTACGTAGGGGTAAAAGACCGTCGTAGAAAGAAACTCTTGGCGTAACTGGTTGATAAAAAAGAACGAAGCGGAGTGGCCGAGACGGAAGCCAGAACGGGAGAACGGAAGTAAATGGCCGGTCATCCGGTATCGAACCTTGCCTCCGGCCATCCACGGCCTGTTACTTCGTTGACCCACTGCCCGTTATAGAAAATATATAATCGTCTCTCTTTTTATACCGTCGCCGTTTGCAATTCTTCGGGCAACGACACTGCTTTCCACGCGTCCCGCGTTTCCTCACCGACAACACCTTTCTTTCCGTAAGCTTCTCCGTCGTGCTATTTCTATCCGTCTCGTAACCTTCGTTATCGTTATCTTCTTCCCGAATACGAAACGCTTTATCGCCTGCCTATTCGGAAAGTTTCGCTTGCTTAATAATTCCCTACTCGTCTACGCCAGTCCGCGTATAGATAGATACATTTCCTTCGATTTTCCAGTTTCCACGAACGCATCGTATCCGCGTCGTGTCCATGACCGAAGGGACCAAGGAACGAACGTCACTGATCGCGCGATTGCCACGCGAATTCGGGACACGTGTTTCGTATCCGGGCAATCCAGAAGGAACTACCGACAGAGAAACGGTTGGTTCACCGTGAGAAGGCATTTACTTACATCGAGATCTCGAGAAAAGTGCTTCGAACGAACACAGTCGGAAAACAGCTGATATTTGGAAAACATCCTACGTCCGATGTATACTTCTTTTCCTTCCCTCTCGATTTACGTTTAACAGTAATAATATCTTTGAAGTTCTATCGCGCATCGCGAGTCAACGTTCGGCACTGATATTGCGTCACTCGCAGCACTCTTATCCCTCTTCTTTTCCTCTTTTCCTCTTTTCCTCTTTGATTTTCACCCGCTTCTCTCTCGCACCTCTCCAACCACTCGATCTATATTTTACTCGATGCGTTTCCCAAGGATATCGCGAATGAAACGCAAATGAGAACTAACGATAAGTCGCGCGGAGACTACAAGAGTAGACCGGAGTTCATACGAAATCGTACTGATAATATAACGTTCATCGTAAAAGTATGCCTTTGCTTATCGGATGATCCATTGTGTTATCCGAAGTGACGTTTCTTTCCTACACGAAATACCGTAGCCTAGTTAGCTACTCCGCGTTGGACCAGTCACCGCGTCGAATACCACTTACTCGTACCAAAAATTCGCGCGAATATCACGAGGATTCGGGCGCACATCGTATAATTGGTGCAATCCATCGACACCGATTGGTATCGACGAATGATCGTTGCCATCGTCGTCGATCGGTGTCTCGAAGCCTCCTAATTTTCCCTCCAAATTCCCAGCTGGGAACCAATCGTAAGAGGACGATTATCGAATCGTTAGCTGGAAACGGCGATTGCGTAAAAAAAGATGGTCGTCATCGTAGTCTACAGTCAATCGAATAGCCGATTAGAATGGAAATGATCGGTATGGATATCGCGAGGAAAGCTAAACGTTTCGACTTCTGTTCCTCCGACAAAGTCAATTTTCAACGCTACCACCGATGGTTACTTTCTCTTTTAGTTAAGACACCAGCGAAGCTGATGCATAGCGAATTGTAAATACGTCGTTAAACGAAAGCGATAAAAACGAGCAATTTCGTCGAAAAGTATACGCGAATAAGGGTACGTTAATTAAGGAAAATCATCTTCTTGGACGTTGCGACCTTTTCTCCATTTTATTCCATCGATCGGGATTCTCGATCGACGATACCATGGAAAACCAGATGTTGCAAACTCTGTGCGCACGGTTAAGTTACTCGTAATATTTTCCGATGGGTGTGTCACGGAATACCGTGAGTCTGAATTCCTCTACGAACGAGTCTTCGTTTCTTTCTCTCTTCATTCGCCGCGATTTCCATTTTCTCTGTTCGCTTTTAACTTTTGCGCCGATGCCTAGTGTACGACAAACGAACTTCCTAGCCCGGGACAAAGATGGAACAAAGAAACGATCGTCCAGATATCGTCGAATCAAAAACGAAATCGAACGAAACGAAGAAAATACGACAAACGTCGTGTTCTATGAGAAGACACGGTAAACCGTGTACCTTTGAAATATAATACGTATCGATACGCGTTTCGCATAGGAATCGATACGGAGTTCGCTGTATAGCGGTGTCTCATAATGATATGGCGACGAGAATCAACCGGAAATGACTCGTCAACCGGAACGAGGTTCTTTCACGACCCACTCGAATTACGAACAACGTAACGAAACGCGATTCGGATAAATTCATCCGTGTATTTAATTATCGAATGATAATCGTGAAAAAAAGATAAACTCGGAAACAAGCTCGAAATATTCTTTGTTCCGAGATAAAAGCACAAGGCAACGAACGAGTTCGGAATAAAGCATAAGCGTCGATAAATGTGACATTATTCGATTACTAGAAACAGAAGAATGGAAGAAAAAGAACGAAAAATGTATTATTTGTTTCAAAAGATTACGCAATTTACGAACGATGAAAGCCTCGAACTTTTAACTCGAGAACGTCATCCTTCGGGGAAAATTGCAAACAGATGATAAAGGAAAAAGAAAAGGAAAAGAAAGCAGAGATAGCAGACTATGATTCGAGAAGAAAAGCCAGCTTTTACGTTTATCACGGAAATTCTAGTGACCATTTCGTTGCGTGATTATACGCTTACGTATATTTGAATTGTCCGACATAATAAGATGCATGCTATGACGTAAGACTTTCACCCCTGAGGGTCCTTCTGGCATCCGAATCATACGCGCCGCCACCTATACACCTCTTTTGAAACTCGAAGAACCTACCGCTAGTCCACGAATTATCCCTGCTTTTCACTCCCGATTCTCCCTTCACCGCATCATCCTTTCCCTCTTTCACTCGTTCTTTCTCATGCGAACCCGCGTTTATCTTCTTCTTGTTTGTTCTCCACTCGTTTTTTTTCTCTCTCTCTCTCTCTCTCTCTCTCTCTCTCTCTCTCTCTCTCTCTCTCTCTTACGTTCGGTCGATAATTACGTAACGGAATATAAAAGTTTATACCACGATATCTCGACGTGTAATAATATCGAAGCCAGAACTCGTTCGAGTTTTCGCATTTATCTCGAAATATCGTTTTCTCTATTATCGACGATTCTTCGAAATTTCCTCGTCTTGTTTAATACGCTAAACGTTTACCGCTTAATCGCGTACCCCCTGCTTTACCTTTGGCGTAAACATACATTTGGTTGGTTCCTTAGCGAACAACGAATTTGTTTTTAAATGATCGCTGATCACGCGATAAAACGAACGGAAATGACATTTTTTTGTTCAATCGTATCGGCAATAGTGATAAGATTTATAGGATCGAGGATAAGGATAACTGGAACAATGCGGCTTAGCGTTCACTCGGTAACTAAACTTCAATGTCGTTCTCGTTCATCGTTTCAGTTTTACGTTTTCGCGATTCATTGATTCAAGGCTAGCCCATCGGGATATATTAGGTACCAATTAAGTTTCATCGATCGTGGAACTGGGAAATGCGCGATGTAATTATTATTTACTACGAGAAACTAACCTTTCGTCTAACACGTCGGCAACTACCTCGATGCTTATGAGCAATCGCGCATTTTTAAATGTTCTGTCACAAACATCTCGACATCGATTTTATACATTCACGTGCATACGAACAACGGAAGTAAGAATTCGATGAAGAAAAGAATTAATGGGTAAAAACTGAGTAACGAATCTCATCTCATATTACATGCGCCTCGCTTATCTCCTTCCTTTCTCTATCTTATTTTCTTATGTTATTTCTCTTAATTACTAACTACGAATTACAATTGATAACACGTACGATACGCAGTCACTGCACATCGATAACTACACATCGTTATTTCTAGGATACGATGAGATAATGGCGCATCATCTTGTAATAATAATCTTGAACGTATCAAATATTTTTCTTTTCACTTCCTTTGCAACGTAAGTATAAAAGATACTTAGGATTTAAGCAATTAGTTGGGAATTATAACAAGTGTTAGACTGTAGTACGTGTCGTTTCGCCTACGTTTCCTATTTGTCACGACATATACACTTTCGTAAGATGATCAAATTTTCTCGAGATTCAAGGCTGACATTCAATTAACAAATTACGAATTTTTAATTATTAGAGAAACGGTGTCTCGTTCGAGAAAATGTGTTAAAATATATCATTCCGAATTAACGAAGCTGGACCGCTTGAAATTTTATGTATAATGTACTTTATAAATGTATAAAGTGTTAAATTTTCTACTGCGACTGTAAAGCCAACGACGCGCAACGATACAAGCGATCGAGAAAGCGTATGAAGCAAGTAAATGATTTATGTATACACAGAGAAATTTTTATAAAACTCACACGAACTTCCTATATTTAGTGTAGACTATATAAAGCTATATAATCCACGAACGCACTATTTCAAATTTTCTGTATAAGATAGACACAAATACGTAAAAGGTGGAGAAGGTTGGTATTTACCGCGTACTTATCCTTGTAAAAAAGCGAACTAGTCGACATGGTCGTTAATCCTGAAGCAACAAGTTGCACGAACCGCGAAAGATCACGGTTTCATCGTTGATCTCCGTTATTTTGGCTGCAACTTCTTGAGATATCCATTGAACGTGATGCACACGCGCGCACACACGCGCGTCGATGTCTTTTTACAAATTAACAAAAATGAACTTCAAACTGATCGAAAGAATAATCGAAAGTTACAAGGTGTTCGTTGAAGTTATACGAGCGTATCGGAAATGTGAATAGTCTCAAAGGCACGTTTACACGGAAGCAGAGCCAACTGCACTGCGACTGACAAACAGGACGAGTCAGAACTGCAAAAGAAAGACTGGTACACCGTGTGTATGTCCTGTTAGTTTATGGCCACGGTTACGGCAAGAAAGGTAGTATCTTCCCCTCCTCTTCTGCCGCGATGACCTACAATCTAACGCAAAGGCTCTCTCTTTTCGTTCTCTTTTCCCTTTTCTCTTTCTCCCTCGTTCTCGTCTCTCCTCTCCCCCCTCCCTCTCTCTCGCTCCCTTTTTCTTCTCCTCCCTCTCTTTGCCGTGGCTATTCTCATCTTTTCTCTTTAATTTGTATACTACTATATAACATTCATTCTTTTCTTAACGATAAACGATTTATCTCAAATAATCGAAGTAAATAAACAAACGAACATAAATTTTTTAACGAACGTTTAAAGTTATCTATTTATCGAAATTCATTAATTATTATACAAATATTTATACATTCACAATTTTAAATAACAAAAACTTAAGATATAAAATATATTCCATAAATAGAAAAAGGGGATAACATTTTACGATTTATCTATTCTACAACATCTTATTTTATTATTTGAAAACTATTTGAATACAAGAATCGAATAATCATTTAGTCTAACATGTCTAAATACAAACAAACGAATCAAATAAATATATTTTTTTATATAGTTAATTTTGATAAATTATCTTATTAATAATATCAACTAATTACTTCCAATATTAGAAATTAGTTTGCTTTTAAAGATACGTGAATAGAGCTTTTTAAAATTCGATTCCGGAAACAAAAGACTTCGACATCGACAAAAGCAACCAATCGCCATCTTGTTTGATCGATAGTTGAATCTCGAAACACTCTCGAATCAGAGGTCTACGGCACGATACGTAAGTGCTCTGTGTTTGTTTGCTTCTTGCGGAACGAAGCTCTTGAAATATGACTCAAGAAGGCCAGTAAGTATATGAAAATTCATATAAAATTTTTTTCGAATGAATTCCTTGATCCTAAAATCCCTTCTTATTTTTATTATTATGAAACAAGTAGCAGATATTCGTGGGAAGAACTCGAATACCGCCCCGTGGCTTTCGAAACACCGCCATGTTGTAAAGACAGCTTTATTGATTCTCGAAATTTCTGGAAAAGAATCGCAAGAATCTTACGTTCCTCTTTTTTCTTGATTTGCAATACGCTAGTTGTTAATTTCGAATAACAATTATCCCATTAATAACAAATTTGCTGTTCTTTATGTTTCTTTCCTGATAATCGAATTGCAATCCCTGAAATTTTAATAACTCACATTTCTAAATAACTATCAATATATTTGAGATGCGAAACATGTATTGTAATTTTTTATATATTTCACCTAAGTGTATTTAATAATATTACATTGTTTTTATTCTGTTACATTGTTTTATAGAAATAATATGTCGTTTTATTTATAATGACTAGCGGTTTTTGTAGGAAACCATAGAGCTCTGCTCCTAACCTTCAACTACTTTAAACAATTACAATGCTATTATGTATAATTCAATATTACTCTAATCTTCGGATCTAATTAAACGTTACATTTCATTTCGTATATTAGAATAAATCGCTCGTGATAATTGAATATTCACGGACAATAGTTACATACGAAATAAAATTAAAACTTACCTTATCTCCATGTACTACTACGTATTTATCATACGTGTCTATGTTTCGAGCATACATGCATATTATACACACATTTCATGCAGAAATGCTCTGTACATGTAGCAATAAGTGAATGATGTAGGTAATAAATAGTAGTTGATATGGATTAAAACACTGTCTTTTATCAATTATCCCTTTGATATTACATTTTCTTTAACTCACATTTTCAGTGATAAATTATTTAGTTCCTTTTATGTTGTTTAAAACCATCGATTATCTACAAATTTTTTAGATTGCCTCCCCCACCTGTAATGTGGGCTCAAAGAAGAGATTGTTTATATGTTACCATCATTCTAGAAGATTGCAAGGATCCTGTTATTAACGTCAATCCACAAATGATATATTTTAAAGGAGTAGGTGGAACGGAACAGAAAATGCACGAAGTAACAATTAACCTATATGGAGAAATTAATGTAAACAAAACAGTTCAGAATGTAAGAGGAAGGACCATAGAGTTAGTTCTTGTTAAAAAAGAAAAAGGCCCATATTGGCCAAGATTAACGAAAGAAACAACAAAAGCACATTGGTTAAAAAGTGACTTTAACAAATGGAAGGATGAAGATGATAGCAGTGATGAAGGTGGTATGGATGGAAATAGTCCTGATTTGGAAGAAGTAAGGGATAAGTTTGTTTAATTTATCTGTAATACTTTTGGAGAAAGATATTATCACTGTACAATTATTTGTATATAGTCTGATAATTTAAATTTCTACTAATATTTACAGATGATGCGACAAATGGGCGGTTTAGAAGGTTCAGGAGACACTAAACCAAACTTTGATGAAGAGAATGAAGTAGATAGCGACGAAGAATATTTACCTGATCTGCTGCTTAATTGAAAACATTATAACTGTACTTTAAAATAAAGTAATATAACTAATATAACATAATTATAATATAACATAATTATAACTGTACTTCGTTAAAAAAGTAAAAAATACAAAAATGAATGGCGACCTAAGAATAGTGTGCACCACCAGGCAATATATCAGTAGGCCATGCTATTTGTGTTTTCGATTAAATTTACTAATGGCCCACATTACAGTAGCAAACAGACAAATAAGGTGCACAACAAATTGTCAACATAAAAGAATACAGTGGTCAAGAGAATTCTTTTTAAAGATTCTCTAATCTTTCTTCGTTATACGTTTTACTTATTACTAAGTTATAATGAACTTTTTTTTAATAATGATTACTTGTGTATAATATGAAGGAGATAAAATAATGAAAATGAGTTACATTATTTGTGGAATTATTTATTTCAGAAAATCCCATAAAAAGAATTTAGTACATACCATGTATGTATATATAAAAATCAATTGCTTACCAATATCAGTGCAAACAGCTTTATTTTGTCTCTTTATAAACTCGATATATTTTTGTTTACATTTGCTGCATCATAAAAATTTTCAGAACTATACTTACTTTATTATTACATAATAAGTACCATACAATTGCAAGATGAAATATCTATGTTCTATACTATTTAAATATAAGAAAACTTATCCAACGATACTGGAAGCGCCTCGTAATGCTAAATATCCGGCAGTTATATCCATTGGTAGACTTCGGACTGTTGCAAATTCTTCTGCCGTTGCATAATATAATTTAGTTTGTGGATCTGTATATCGTGCCTGTAAAATAAATGTAATCCATGTATTAATTTATACTTCAATGATGTAACCAATCATATAAATTTGATGAAAGACACTAACGGGTAGGCCAGAAATATCTGAATACTTCTTTGCTGGTCTAAAGCTTGGCGGTGCATTAACAGAGCTATCTGAAATTTTTTAAATTTAACAATAATAATTCAAGTATTAAATGATATTTATCATATGTATTTATTATATTATACCGTAATATTTTAAATCAAATGTTAAATTTTTGATAGGTCAAGATTTCTAATATTTAAAATATTTGAAATATTAATGCAAAAATTACAGTTATTACCAAATAAATTTTATAAATAAAAATAAATTGATTTCATACATATTTATAACTATAACAGTAATTTTAACTTCTTCAGTTATTTGAATTATTTTAAATCTATTAAAAACATAAAACAGAAAATAAATCGTACAATGTACCACTTCTGCAGGCCATGGTAAAGTACGTTCTTGAGCTAAGACTTGTTTTAATGAACGCCAAGTCCGTTTCTTTCCAGTGGTACTAGTAGAACGAAATTTCTGTTGAAAAATTGGATTCTTGTAAACTGGTTGTGATTTCTTATTAAATTCCACTACTTCTTCATTTACCATTTTTTATTTTATTTAAAACACTTACAAACCTATAAAAAATATATACAAGTATATTAGTAAATGTAAGTAATTATTGACATTTATTATATGTTATATTTACTTAAAAGATTTACATTCATACAGTGTATTATATCAAATATATGTTCAGAGATCTTCTTTATTGTCGAGTAATGTCTCAAACAATTTCCTTCTTGGATTATATAAGACTAATATTTCTTCTACATCACATCTTAATATACCACAAATTGTATGCATCATAGTTGTATTTATATGTTTAACCAAAACTTTTGCCCACTGACTTAGAATAAGTACAGCTGTATAATGGTCCTTTGAACTTCTAAAAAAAAGTTTTTTCCATTGAAACCTATAATATATAAATATTACTACTTTTTAAATAAGATACCTTTGAAAATCAAAATGATATTTATATCCTTGCGAGAGATATTTCTGGATAATAATTGATAAATTATTTTCAATTAAAACAGCACCCTTTTTACTAGGTTCAATTAAACATAAAATTGCATGATGACAAAGTAATTGATTGTATTCTAATTCACCCCTTTTGTCACGCTTATATTTTGAATTCTAAATAATGAATACTGGATTAAATTAGATATTATCTTACACGTGTACTAAATCAATTTAATATAAAGAAGGATATATGCATTTTATAACCTTTCCTATGTGGAGTGTAACTTGTATATTTTTTTTTATGTGATCTACATCATTTATATATAGCTGTAAAAATCTTTCACTCATTTCTATTTCCTTATTTGCCATATTTATCACAGTATTTATGAAATTTTCTTGTCTATCATTATTCATTTTTAAAATGTTGCCATATCTACAATCATTAGACATAATTTTATCATCACAAAATGGCTCAGAATCTTCAAATGCAGTAACTTTTTTAAATTTATGTTTTTCACAATTATAGAAATTAATGTATTTTTGTTTGCCTCCTATGGAAAATAATGAATTATATTTTGACCCATTCAATTTATTTGCTAAATTTGTCCTTATTCTTTTACAAGTTAAAATTTTATTATATGTTTCAATTTCCCCTCTTTTCATGCTTTCATTGTGTTTCCTCTTTATTCTTATTTTCTGAAGTATTTTTGTATTAATACTTCTTAAATGAGATGTTAACATTTGTGTATTATTTAAGTAAGTAAATTTATCAAAGAAACTGGTATGTTTTTCCATAAAATATTTTATGTTGTTTTCAACAGTCAAATCCATATCTTGTTGCATATTAATTTCTTTTATTTTTTCTGCAGGATAAAATTGCTTAATTTTATAAAGGTTGTCTATGTTTGTTACAAATGTAATTTTGTTAAATTTCTTGCAAGCATGAGACTCAATTTTTAATCCTAAGTTTTGGATAAATGTATGTACTAATTTATCCATATTAAACTTTGAAAAATCAAACATGTTGAATCTTCGAATTATAAAATTATATTTATATTAATAACTAAATGTTAGTGCATATAAATATTTTAAAACAGTATGTATAATAAAATATTATAAAATACTAATTTCTGTATCATAAAAAGTCTGACATACTTTTAAAAACAAACTTGTGCAATTGTTTTTTTCATCTAACTTCATAATAATATACAATATAATTACTTTTTATTAATTTAAATATATCATAAATATTTTAAGTATATTGTTATAATAATAGAAAATTAAAATGTGCTTCGAAAATTTTTATTAACATGCAGTTTATTTTCTTGGTTCGTAAAAGTTTCGTTGAGTTATGTGAGAAAAGTATCTTAAATAAAAGATTCCTTAAATCTAGTAAGTACATTTTATTTAATCATTATATATAATTATAAAAGAAAATATATCATTAATTTATCAAATCCAACTTAAAAATTATTATGATAATTCAGAAGTTATTTTATAACCTTTAAAATGATATATTTTTTATCCGATTCAGCAAAAATATCAAAATATCAAGGATTGTGTATTAATTACTAAATCATAAATTTACACATTCTTTTGTTCTATCATTAGATTTCGAAATGAATTTGAAACGTAATTTTTATTTATTACTTACCATCGATAGATCAAAATAGTACACTAATTTCGTTACTAGGTAACTTAAAATGTTCAAATACTAATTGTAAGCAACTACGGTACTGCATGATAATCGTAAACAATATTTCAAAAATTGCATATAATTTTATTTTTACTTTTTATATAATACAATTTATTTACTATTATTTTAAGTTCGTTTAATATATTTTATCAAATATATTAAATATATTTATTATAAAATGTTTATAATATATTGATATTATTTAATTATTTCTTTAAATTGTAATTTCTTTAATATTTAAGTTTTTTTCTACTTTTTAAATCTATCATATCAAATTTACAACAGATAAATTTTAATTAAATTCAAATTAAAAATCTTTTCTAACTGTAAAAACATTAAGATCACGTTTAAAAATGAATTTAAATATTTAAACTCTGCAAATTTAAAATAATTTTATTATAGAAAGTAAAATAATTATTTTCAACTATGTAATTGAACTACAGTTTGAGAAAATGGGAGGGACATAATATATCAATGATGGTGGGGGGTTTCATAACTCAGCTTGGGAATAACGTGACTATATTCACCTTTCGCTTCGTTGGAGGTCGAAAGAACATATTCTTCATTTGTTCCAGATTCGCAAATTATTTGTAAATTCATTGCTATTAATAGTTTATGTGTATCAGTATATTCTAACATAATGGGTCGTAAATTTTTTGTCGGTGGTAATTGGAAAATGAACGGTACCAAAAGTGAAATAGATGGTATTGTTGCCTTTTTAAAAACTGGCCCACTTGATTCAAATGTTGGTATGTTTCTCCTGTTTTTAATCATTTATATCTTTAATTTATAATAATCTAAAAAAAATCTTTTTATTCTCGTTAAAATAACTTTAATATACACAAATATTAATTACTGTGTATAATTTTGACAATTATATCAGATGTTGTTGTTGGAGTACCATCAATATACTTAACATACACGAAAAATATATTACCTAACAATGTTAGTATTGCTGGACAAAATACATACAAAGTCGCAAAAGGAGCATTTACAGGAGAAATAAGTCCTGCTATGCTTTTGGATAATGGAATCCCTTGGGTAATTCTTGGTCATTCAGAGCGTAGAAATGTATTTGGTGAAACAGATGAATTAGTAGCAGAAAAAGTTGCTCATGCATTAGAATCTGGACTAAAGGTATTCAAAATTTTTATTATTTTAAAGATGTAGTAAATTGATATTCAAATTACAATTTAATTGTTTTTCACATATAGCATATATGTTGATTTAGATATATTAATATTAATAAATGTCAATGTATTTAATGTAAAGGTAATTGCGTGTATTGGAGAAAAATTGGAAGAAAGAGAAGCTGGTAAAACAGAAGAAGTAGTTTTCAGACAAACAAAAGCTATTGCAGATAAAATCAAGATGTGGGATAATGTAGTTGTTGCCTATGAACCAGTTTGGGCAATTGGAACAGGCAAAACAGCTACACCACAACAAGCTCAAGAGGTTCATGAAAAACTGAGAGATTGGTTCTCTAAAAATATCAACCAAACTGTTGCAGATACTATTAGAATTATTTATGGAGGTTCAGTAACAGCAGGCAATGCAAAAGACTTAGCAAAAGAAAAGGATATTGATGGATTTTTAGTTGGGGGAGCATCTTTAAAACCTGATTTTGTACAAATTGTTAATGCTAAGCAGTGAGACTAAATATTATTTATGCAAGAATGTTACTTATCAAAATTAATTAAGGATGTGTATATCATAAGTATTATAAGGAATTAATTTACATGTTTTCTTGTCAATTGTATAGAGAAAGATTTAAGTTGTGTTGTTGCAATGAAGAATTATTATCCTACAATTAATAGTAAATTGTACATTTCATTCTGTTTTTCCCAAGAACCATATATTTCTTGTAAATATATAATCATTAGTAACTCAATAAATGTTGCAACAAAATGTAAATTTTATCATTTATTTTACAATTTTTTTAATCTAATTCATCAATTAATCCTTTAATCATAACAGTTTCAGGCATAGAATTATTATCAACTTCTTTAATACCTCCTACTTTTGCTTTTGCACAAGCAATATTGGATAAACATTTAAATGTTCGTGGTTCCCAGATAGCCAAAGTTGATAAAGATTTACGATTTAATAAAATATTACACCTAGATAATCCTTCCATGAGTACCTTGAAAGTAATACCATGTTCACTTGAAGCACCATCTAATCTAGTTTCCCAAAGCTGTAAAAAAACAGTTATATTATATTTTAAAGGAAACTATTTTCTCTCATACATTACCTCTTTCATATCTGCTTTTTTAAGTGATCTTCCTTTCGTAGTTTTCAACAATGCTCTGTGTACATTTCTAATAGCTATACTGTAACAGTTTCTTCTTCTTCCAATATAATGCTAAAAATAGAAGTATTAAAATTTTATTAAAATTACATTTCTTATCACATATTTTTCTTTATCCTATTATGAATAAAAATATTTACTGCGGCGAGTTTAAATATTTGACGTTTTCGCCAGAATTCATCAGGACCTCGACATCTTATAAACAACTGTGCCGTTGAAAATACCATAATTCTTTCTAAATTCGGATAAATATTAAAAATAAAATATTTATATATCCGCACGATCTTTATTTACAAGCACGATGCGAATTTATACCCTATAAAATTATTCAAAGAATCCACAAACTTTCAAGATTATATAGATTAAATACATACTAGTGTACGAAATGAATACCATACACCATATGCTATGTATAGATGAGACATAGTACAAACTTAATATTTTATAAATTCCATTTAAAAATCTGGTTACAAAAAAATCAGAAATTTCATGACTTTTATAATTTAAAGATTTGAACTAAAAGATTATATTCACTTTAATTACCAAAGTTAACGATTTCTATCAACCAAATATATCGTTATCTATTTTCGAAGAACTTAATATAAGTTTTATCACCAAAATGTTACCAAATCTGATGCACAATCTAATTATCAAGTTATGTTGTACCAATACTTGAGACGATAGATACAAAAAATGGTACCGAGCTTGAATCAACTATGACTAGATTTGTTTTTGGAGTAAATTTGGTGTCAAACTATGAGATACAAAATTTAACACTATACTCAATACGCGATGATAACACAAATGATTTTATAGTAAAGCCAGTAAAAATTTTGTACTAAATTTTGTATTAATTTGGTGCCATGTTATAACCAAATTATTTACTGGGGATATTAGAAGAATTAAAGAGACCGAAATCTAAATTACTACTTGTTTAAATATTTAATCTACGAAAAATATATGTAAGTTCACAAAATTACTTTAGTTATTTTTTATCAGGATATAAATTACATTTTATAAATTTTTAATACCAACTCGTCACTAGTATTATAATCTTACTTTACACTGAATTAATAGCAATAAAAATGAGATAAAAATAGTGATACATAATAATATGTCAGATGTTTGCTATATACCTAATTTAGTTTTCACTGTTAAAACAAAACGACAAAGTAACAAGTGTCTGTACAAAAAATTATTAAATTTTATTCAATTAATAAAAATAAATGTATTTGATAAAATTATACTTAGTAAAAGTAATAAATTAAATAATTTAAATAATAAATTTACATTATTATATACTAAAGAAATGTTTGTTATAAAAAACAGAAAAATAAGTTTTTGAGGTTGTGAAGTGAATTTATAGTCACGTGTTAAAACTTAAATTCTTATTAAATGTTATTAACTATAATTTTTATACTATCTTAAATAAAGATTTTAATATGAGTAATAAAAAGAGGTAAGATAAAAACTGCTAATAATAAAATTTAAATTTATTTTATGATAGATATCATTAGAAATATATACATTATGTTCCTCTTATTTATATCATTATCAGTTTTTCTACTTTTATTAGTAACAAAATTTTTATATAGCATTCCTTGCTTAATTCTTTTTAATAGAGTGGAACTAACAAAAATGAACAATGAACCAGAGGATTTAGAAGATATAGATATGAATGAAGATATAAATTCTGAAGAAGAATATACTGAAAATGAACACAAATTGCTCAGAAAAGTGCGAGATAGACAGCCTTCAGAAAATTATGACAGTGATTATGAAGTATATGGATTACATGAAGTAAGTGAGGAAGATCAAGATGATATAGAAAACAAGGAAGAAACAGATTCTATGGAATCTGACATTGAAGGATTGCAAGAAGATTTTGATTTACCAAATGAAAAAGCTTGGGGAAAAAAGAAAAAAGTTTATTATTCAACAGATTATGTAGATCCTGATTATGCTACTGCCAGTCAAAAAGATTTAGCTGAGGCAGAATTAGAAGAAGAAGAAGCTAAGAATATACAAAAAAGGTTAGCAGAGCAATTAGATGATGCTGATTTTGGATTAGATTTTATCCAGACAATAAAAAACAATGAAGAAGAAGTGTATAAGCATGCAGAACAATTTATAAAGACTGATCTGAGTAAACTTAGTAAAAGACAAAAACAAGCAATAATACAGAAAGAAAGTCCTGAATTTATAGTTCTTGTAAATGATTTTAAAGGTACTGTATACAAGAAATTCTATAAATTATATTTAAGGTAAGTAAAATTGAAAATATAAATATTTTTAATATGCATTATATGATTTAGATCACATGACAGAAGCAAAAGATTCACTGGCACCATTTTTAAAATTGATTAAAAGTGATGTATTCGTTGATTGCCCCATAGTTTCTTTTGTAAAGACAAAGTATCATCTTTTGTTAAATTATTGTATCAATATTTCTTTTTACTTGATGCTTAAAGCAAAAAGATTACCTGTTAGTTCTCATCCAGTTATAAAACGTTTAGCACAATATCGTCAGCTATTAAATCAACTGGAATTTGGACAAGGAGCTTTAATAGAAGAAATACAGGAAATATTAAAAGCAAAGAAAGAAGGAAAACCTTTATATAACATATTGGATGGTAGTAAAATAAATATTAATAAACGAAAGACAACTCACTTTGAAAAAAAAGCAAATTATGTAAATAATTCTGCAAATAAAGTTATAGAATTAGAATCTGAATATGAAGTTGAGTCAAAACAGAGTGTATGTGTAAATGAAGAAAGTGATTTACAAAATGAAGAAGAAAATAAAATGAAAAGTAATGACATATTAGATGCAGTAAACAATGAAGGAAAAAGAGCAATTACATATCAAATAGCAAAGAACAAAGGTTTAACACCACACCGTAAGAAAGAACAACGGAATCCTAGAGTAAAACACAGAAATAAATATCGTAAAGCTAAAATTCGCAGAAAGGGAGCAGTATGTATTTATTTATTTTAAATAGGTTGCATGCTATAATGTAATAATAATAAATTTTATTTTTCAGATAAGAGAAGTAAGAAAAGAAGTTACTCGTTATGCTGGAGAGATATCAGGTATTAAAGCTGGTGTAAAGAAAAGCATTAAACTGAAATAAAAGATAAAGTTGTAATAAAAATTCTAAAATTCTGTAATTCCTATTAAAATACATATTTTTCATATACAAAGTTTGGATATAAACCTACTTTTTACATTAATATCAATAATAAGTTTTAGTGTTCTTTCATTTTCTATTTTATTTTTTTATTTCTTTTTATTTATTATACAAATCATTATATTAAAATAAGAATATAGAAAGCAATATCTGAACAAATTATTATCTAAACAAAATGAATGTTTTATTTTTTCTTTTTATATGTATGAAATCATGACATATAGAACAGTAGATACATAAAAGGATAACATAATCATATAATACAATGATGAACATCAAACTTTACCTAAAATTAACTTACATCTCATTATTTCGTTGATTGTATATTTTTCAGGAAATAATTGGTAGTACTTAAAAAATTGCAAACATAAATTTAATAGGAAATTTAAACTTCTAACTTTGCCAATATATCTGACTCGCGGAATAAATGAAATTCTTTATTATCTTCAAGTTCTACTTTAGTTCCACCATACTCTGGCAATAATACTACATCACCAACCTTGATACTTAAAGGAACATGTTCTCCTTTCTGGAAATAAATATTATTTATTGCATTCTACTTATTAATTAAATTTCAAATATTTTGAACATACATCATTTCTTTGTCCTGGTCCAATTGCGACAACAGTTCCTTGTAAAACTTTTGCTTGTGCTTTTTCTGGTAAAACAATACCACCTTTTGTTTTTGTTATAGCTTCAGCTCTTTGTATAAGAACTCTATCAAAGAGAGGTACAAGTCTCTTAATGGCATTAGCTGTAGCCTATGGTAAAAATATTAAGATAGAATATATATAGAAAAATTCATAGCATTTATAATTGATTCTATAAATATAAATTTTAAATACATTCAAAATTAATTACTTTAAGATCATGCATGATGTAATTTTACGAAATTTTTCGTAACACTTTAAACTTAAAAACGTTTAAATTATGAAAAGTTATATACTTGCAAATATTAAAAATAACAACGAAAACAGAATTATTTAAAGTTGTAGCGATTAATTTTTTTTATCTATAAATAATTTTATTACTGAATTTACAATAACGAATCATAAGCACACGACAGAATCTACCATTATATGTATCTACTTTTGTTTTATTATCTGTTTTATCGTCACTTGTTTTTCAATTTCTAATATAAAGAACATTTAATACCGGCCATGTGAAAAAATTTATAGCTAGAAATCAATGAAATTACTATGTCAAATTAAAAAACAATGATAAAAATAAGTATATTACACATAATTTCAGTAGTATTAATTATATTCTTCAAATCAAAGAACAATTTAATAGAAAATATATCAAACTAATCAGTAATTTGTAGGTTATCCATAAAAATGGTTAAAAACATTTTATGAAATTTATTTGTTATCCTACATGAGAAATTGTAAGTAACGTAACTATTATAATTTTTATATTCTTACCATTGTCACAAAACGTATTTTTATTTATTACAAACTTGAATAACCTGCAGAAGTACACTCGTGCACGTTGTCCAACTTATATGTAGAAGGCGAAGTCTCTACTATTCTCGAATATTCCTATTTCCCCTCTACATTTCTTTGCCCCACCACGTGTTCATCGATTCGTATTTGTGCAAGAACCCGATATATATGTTACATAACTATATATCTATGACAAAATACCTAGCACGAGATGGCACTAGAGTAGCATTGCGCACGTGGACAAAATTGTAATTATATTTTAATATATATCTTTTTATACCACATTACATATATTTTTAACAAACATATACACTGCATAAAACTTATAATAATAACATATAAGAAAATAATTGTTATTAAAGAATAAATTCTAAAATTTTAATTTTGTATGTTATTACTTTAAACTTAATATTAAAGCAATAAAACAATATACAGATATTTATTAAAATTATTATGTTCCTAGTACATCATAATTAAATATAATAAAATGATATTATTAAGGAATAAATGTGAGGAAACTACGAATACAATAACTATACTATGCAAATGCAAAATGGTTAAATATGCATTCTTTTACATATATTATTTGTTTGATATTATAAATTTGTTGAATACTTCTCACTAATGGTATATATAAATATGACAAAAATATAAAACAATATATGAATGATAAAATATAATATAGAGAATGTATCGAAAAGAAATATTATAAATACATGTACATATTATTAAATATTAATAATTATATGTATTGTAACACGTAATATATTATGTATATGCAAATATTCTTATACTTGTATAATAAATATGTACTTTACATTATAGATTATAATACTTATTTGCGTTTCTGATTGATTTAGTATGTTTGAAAATAAAATTAAATCGAAATACAATAAAGATTGTACTTATCGAATTATTTATTTAGATATGATAAAAAGTGGAACAAACAAAGAATTCGATATATGTAAATTTTTTAAACCGAAGTAATCTATAAGAAATAATAAATTATTCTTAATGCTCTACTATACAATGTTTCATAAATTTTCCTTTGTAAAACTCAAAATTACTTTAAAATTTAAAAAAAAAATCTGAAATCATGATGTTGATTTGGAAATCGATAATCATTACTACAAAAGAACGAACTGCTGGCACATCATCGAACATGATTGGTGAATACTGAATGATTACATCATACGGTTTCTCGTACATTCTAGAACTGTGCGTCTCTGCTGAGAAAATAATCTATCGGCATAATTAAAGAATGAAATGCTGTTAAAAGAAAAAATAGAAATAATTTCAGAATTTTCGTTTTATTAATATTTTATTTCCATTAAATTTATTAAACATTTTTGGAAGTATTTTAATCAAAATCAAAAATAGGTTAGAATAGCAAGAAAAGGGAGGGGAGTAATACCCATGTGAAGCGTAAGCGATCTTACACATTTCATTCTGCAAGCGAGACAACGTGCGGTCACGCTGTAGCGATTTTCAATTTCTTTTATAACTACAATCTCAAATCAACGGCTTTTCTTCTTTCATTAATAAAGGTAAACTTTTTTTGATATATTTAATTTGTTTCTTATCTGTAAAATATATATATTAACTATTTAATAATATTAACCGGCGAAACTTAGAGTAGTTAACTTTTTTATATTCCAGTTATGTTTCGCATTTTTGATTATTACATAGTAATATTTTCTGTTTTTCAATAATTTTTTAATGATTGTCATTTTAATAAATCAAAATAATAAATGCTTTGAGAAATATTTTAGTTTTTAGAATTGTAGTTAGAGGTACAGAATAGAAAACGAAAAGAAATATTTATACATTTTATTAATATTGTTTATAATCATTCCTTAATAATTTATTTAAATTATTCATATTTCTTTTTTCTTTTTGTATTTATTCTTGGTTCTCTTCAATACTTAATTATTTCTTTTATAAGCTGGTTTAATTATTTTGTGCATTATATTGTATTGTAAGTCAAAGATGTAGAAAAAAATACAAGAAAGGAATATATTTTGTGTTATACAAAACGTGTAAAATGTTTTGAAACTATTTAAAACAATCTGTATCATACTGTTTTCTCGTTGACCACGCGGTAGTTTACATAACCACGTTTCCGTTCATAAAACGATTAATATTTTTCTTTCAAAATTTCGTTATAAATTTATTGATATTGAAGAAAGTGTAAAACGTAAATAAGTGTAAATGGCTAAAATAAAATTATTAAATTTAATATCAAATTTTGTTATTAAAATTTAGAAAATAATTTTATATAAAGTGTCATTTTTATAAATTGTTAATTTTATACATTGCAATAAGTTTTGGATTAAGCATATTTCAATTTATAATAATTTTCTTTATTATTTTAGATGCATAGATTACCAACTGTATTGCGTGGTGCAGCTATGCGCCAATTGCAAGCTCGTTCATATGCAAAAGATGTACGGTTTGGAGCAGAAGTTAGAGCACTTATGTTACAAGGTGTAGATATCTTAGCTGATGCAGTTGCAGTAACAATGGGTCCAAAAGGACGTAATGTTATTTTGGAACAAAGTTGGGGTAGTCCAAAAATTACTAAAGATGGTGTCACAGTTGCTAAGGGAGTCGACTTGAAAGATAAGTTTCAGAATATTGGAGCAAAGTTAGTACAAGATGTAGCAAATAATACAAATGAAGAAGCTGGTGATGGTACTACTACAGCTACAGTTTTAGCAAGAGCCATTGCTAAGGAAGGATTTGAGAAAATTAGTAAAGGTGCTAATCCTGTAGAAATAAGAAGAGGTTAGTAAATATATAAACTTCTTATGAATTTACATTTATTACATAATATTTTTTTCTGTGTTTTGGTGTGGTTTAATATTGCATTTATTACAAAATAATGGTTATATTATAGGTGTTATGTTAGCAGTTGATAAGGTTAAAGACGAATTGAAAGCCTTAAGTAAGCCAGTAACAACTCCAGAAGAAATAGCACAAGTAGCAACTATCTCAGCTAATGGAGATAAAGCAATTGGTAATCTTATTTCGGATGCTATGAAAAAAGTTGGAAAAGAAGGTGTTATTACTGTAAAAGATGGTAAAACATTACACGACGAACTGGAAGTTATAGAAGGAATGAAATTTGACAGGGGCTATATATCTCCTTACTTCATAAATTCTAGTAAAGGAGCAAAAGTTGAATTTCAAGATGCACTTCTACTTTTCAGTGAGAAAAAGATATCATCTGTACAGTCTATAATTCCAGCGTTAGAATTAGCAAATTCTCAAAGAAAACCACTTGTCATAATAGCAGAAGACATTGATGGTGAAGCTTTGTCAACCCTTGTAGTCAATAGATTAAAAATAGGTTTGCAGGTAGCTGCAGTTAAGGCCCCTGGTTTCGGGGATAATAGAAAAGCGACGCTTCAAGACATGGCAATTTTAACAGGTGGAATTGTATTTGGTGATGATGCAAATCTTATTAAATTAGAGAACATACAATTGTGTGATTTGGGAGAAGTAGGAGAAGTTGTAATTACGAAGGATGATACGCTTTTCCTTAAAGGCAAAGGGAAAAAAAATGATATTGATCATAGAGCAGATGTAATTAGAGATCAGATTCTTAATACAACTTCTGATTATGAAAAAGAAAAGCTACAAGAACGTTTGGCAAGGTTAGCGTCGGGAGTTGCAGTTCTCAGAGTTGGTGGAAGTAGTGAAGTAGAAGTTAACGAGAAGAAAGATCGCGTTCATGATGCTCTTAATGCTACCAGAGCAGCCGTCGAAGAAGGAATTGTTCCTGGAGGTAAATATGTATTATTGTATACAAATTTCTTTGTATAAATTTTTAAATAAATGTACAATGTGTATATAGAGTATAAAATTCTCCTTTTCATTAAAGTTTTAACTTTGATGGTGGGAGACAGAGATTTTATATAAAAAGATATCTGTAATTTATCATAGATATTAAAAAATATATAAAATAATTTTATTTAAAAATGAAATTGTCATAATTATTATGTTAAATATTTTTATTTGATAGGAGGTACTGCTCTTTTAAGATGCATTCCAGCTCTTCGAAGTTTAAAGGCATCAAATAGCGATCAGGAGACTGGAATAAAAATAGTGGCAAATGCATTGCGTATGCCATGCTTACAGATTGCCCAAAATGCGGGTGTGGATGCTAGTTTAGTAGTAGCAAAAGTTAGTGACAGTAATCTTGGTTATGATGCCCTAAACGACGAATACGTTGATATGATAGAAAAAGGAATTATTGATCCAACAAAAGTGGTTCGTACAGCACTTACCGATGCTGCCGGTGTTGCATCATTACTTACAACTGCAGAAGCAGTAGTTGCCGAATTACCTAAAGAAGAACCACAGATGCCTATGGGCGGTGGTGGCATGGGTGGAATGGGTGGTATGGGTGGTATGGGTGGTATGGGAGGCATGGGCATGTAATTAAATGAAATCCCATACAAAGACTGACTTTTACATCGGAATTCAATCGCAATATTAATCATCTTGTTATAAATTGCGATTAGAACTGCAGACACATTAATATAATTTACCAATTGAGTAACCAAGAAGCTAAATGCTTAGAACATTAATTACTGTACTTTAAAGTAAATAATAAGGGAAAACATGTTTTTTTACATACGTTGTAATATTTGTTCTCGAATCATTTAGTTTTGTTTTGCATTTTCGAGCATTACTGTTTTATTGACTATATACTATAACAAAAATTCATTCTTTATTCAAAAAGATGCACATTTATATTAATAGTTTATATTTTATTATACAAGATGTAACAAGTGTGCAAATTATAATGTTACATCAAAAAATAATAAAATTTAAGTAAGTTTAAAATCAATGATGAATCAGAAGAATATGCTTAAGAATTTAATTATATGTCAAAATAGTCTTGCATTTATATAGATATTCAGTTATTTCTATAGTTTTAAAAAATTTTTATCAAGTTCATTACATTTTTCCGTCGAATTCTCAAAAAATTATTAAAAAACAAATATTTATTCATGGCCGTGAAATATTTAGAATAAGGATAATGTCCTCCAATGCATGTTTATATGATTTTTCATCTATATGGATGAATAAATAATAACAAAAATGTACAAACATATGTATTGTAGTAGGATAAAAATGCATATTATGTCATACTTTTTTAAATGTTACGATTTATTTCCATTTTTTAGTCTTAATAAATATATGTTTAAAGTATACACCATTGTTATTTCTTAAAAAAATTTTCCTGCAGAGTGAAAAATTATTGGACTTTCATTAGAAAGTTTAAGCAAAAAAATTTCACGAAAAAGAGAATTTAATTACAAAAGTAAAATGCAAATAATATCGATCTTGTTATAATTAAATGTGACTGATTTATATTTATATACAATTTCATCCAAATAAATTAATCATATCAGAATATTATAAAAGTATGTTATATTTTAAAAGTTTATCACCAAAATTTTCTTGCAAATGAATTGGGGAAGAATTGTGTTTTAATAATGATATTGAACATCCTGGTCCATTATTTTTTCATACTAATGGAGTGTAATCTTATTTGCACATGTTATGTACTTTTAACATCATCTATATTTCCTTTTCTTGAAGGAATTGTGTTAAAATATTTTTATTTTATAATTCATATACAAGAAAGTTTTATAACCTGTAAAATATATCAGTTTTAATACAATAATCATATTTTATTCGTTTTAAAATTAATTAAACGGAAATAGTTAATAACTTATAATTAAATGATTTTTTTTTATATAATTTGTACTTATATAAGTCGTAATAATATTACAGCAATATCGTTGTAACTTTTTTTTTAATTTAAAGATTAATATTCAGTATATTATGTAGTAGTTAAAATTGAGAAAGTACGAAAGAAATGATTTCCTTTTATATAAACACTCAATGAACAAAATCATAATGGTACAGATAAACAAAAACTATTGCTTGTTGTATAACGTATAAAAATATTTTTTTTCTTTTTCATATCCAAACTCTGTGTATATTCTTGACCCACTTGTCATATTTTAATTTGTTATTACAGAATATTATACAATTATTATAAAAAAAAGTAAACATATAACATTTTTTGGTAATATGTGCTATTCAAAAAGAAATATAAAGAATTGGTGTTGAGAATACAAATGTCTATTTTTTTTAGGAGGTATTATAATATACCTGCGTGTATTTGATAAAAAGCATAATTGTATTCCTTATGCACTAGCTTAAACCCCTATCTTCTCTATTTCATCTGCATCTTCTGCATCGAGATAGTGTATCTTCTTTCCAAAATGTTTTTCTATATCGTTACATATTTGCATTGCACGCGGCGAGTCTATTAGATTAATGGCAATTCCAGATTTACCAAAACGTCCTGCTCGACCAATTCTGTGTAAATATGTTTCACAATCTGCTTGTCGATTTTGGTCCATTGGTAAATCAAAATTAACTACTATTGTTACTTGTTCAACGTCAATACCTGCAATGTTTGTAAATTATGTAAACATTTAAATAAAGTTGATTGAATCATGAGAAGTTTTCAACATTTATATTCTTTTGTTTTTAAATAATAAATAAGTAGGTATAAAAAATGAATTTAAATAAATACCTCTAGCCAAAACATTAGTTGTGATAAGAACTTTTTCAAGACCAGCTCTAAAACGATCCAAAACTGAAATTCTTTGTTCCACTGTTAGTTCCCCAGATAAAACAGCTACTGCATGACCATCTTCTGTCATTTTTTCAGCTAACCAATTAGCTGTACTTCTGGTCTATATTAAAATATAGAATACTACTTACACTTTTAAAATGGAAGAATTTTTAAATTTCTTATAAGAATATCTTACATGACAAAAAATAATTGCTTGCCCTATCGTAATTACACCATATATATTGGTAATAGCTGTATATTTTTCATATAAGTCTTTGCATTTGACATAATATTGTTTAATATTATCTAAGCTTTCTTCTTCTTTTAGCAATCTTATTATTAAGGGATTGTTAACTATGATTTCTGCAAATTTCATTACATCTGGCTCGTAAGTTGCAGAAAAAAACATCATTTGACATGTGCGTGGAAGTTGCCTGTAAATGTAAAATTCAAGCATATAAGATATAAGGTATATGATTAGAAATTTTTCTTGATAATTCTGTACACTAAAATAATTACTTATGAACACGTATACATTGATCTTGATGACCCTGTGTAGCAATCATTACATCTGCTTCATCTAAAACAAAAACTGATATTTTACTTAATTGGAAGACCTTATATTTAAAAACCCAATCTATAACTTTTCCAGGGGTTCCAATGATAATATGCTCTGTAATCTTTGATCCACGTCTTACTGAAATAATGAAAAATATTTTAAAACATTTCTGTTTGCATATATTTTTATAAAATTGGTAATTATTTGTAATATATATTACTTTCTTCTCCTCTTACAGCATATTTTATTTTTATTTCATTACAGAATGCAGACATCTTTGCTGCTACTTCCCCTGTTTGTATAGCTAATTCATAAGTTGGAGATAAACAAAGTACTTGAGGATAATTCTTGGTGGTATCGACCCTACTGAGCATTGCTAATACAAATGCTGCTGTTTTTCCAGTTCCAGATTGCGACTGAGCAATCATATTTTGAGGCCTACACATAATTTATTAAACTTCATGCTTATCATTTATATTGTGAAGTACTTTCATATTAAAAACAAACTTACGGATCAGCAAGTAAAGTGGGTAACGCAGTTTCTTGAATTTTTGATGGTGCATTAAATCCCATTGCATATACTCCTTTTAATAAAGCTGGTTTACTACAATAGATACCATAATATATAATCTTTTTAGAGTTATATCAATATAAATAGAATAATAGCTAAAAATACCAACAGATGAAGAGCTTCAAAAGATTTGACACTATATAATGGTGAAGATGGATCTTTTCTTTGAATTTCTATATCTTTTGTTGTTTCTACCAAACCTTTACGTATAATTTTTTGAAGTAATGACTTCTCTGCAGGTGAAATTTGTTCATCTGCTCCATCATCATTTTTGGAAACTGTATTTGTAACATTTTCTTTTTGTTCTTTGTCAATATTTAAACTGGAAACCTAATTAAAATATCACCATTACGTAGAAAAAGGGAATAAAGATAAAAATATCTCATTATAAAAAGAGGTTAAATTTCTTACATTACTTGTAAGCTTAACGATATATAATTATTGTACAAACATAATTTAAGTAATCAAAATGTAAGCATTGAAAATACACTGAAAAAAATTTGTTTAATAACAAATAAAGGATAAACAGACGAAAATGAGGTTAAACCGGTGATATACGCGTATGATAAGAATATTACCTTTGCCGATAGTTTCTCTTGCTCATCCACATATTTAGCCCAATCTAATTTAGCCGAAGCCATATTAACATCGATACATTCACAATATTTATGAAAATAATTTGTGTTAATTAAAGACTTAAAATAACAAAATTATTCATCGAATATTTTTATGAAATATTTTATTAACTCTTGTGTGACTTCTTAGCCAATGTAGCGTCACGATACGGCGTAAACAATAACTAACAAGGAGAGTGCGAATCCTTCGAGTCACCGAGTTAGTTGAAACTTTGCAGGTTTGTAGATATCGTTATGCATTTTACAAAATATATCACTATAGCAGCAATTACTCAAAAATTTTTAACATATTTATGATTAAATTTGTATTACGTAGTCATTTATACATTTATTTCCTCAATCATACAGCGAAATCGTGGCCTAATGGCCACGTTCGAGAATTCATATGCTGCTGGTCCGAGGTTCGATTCTTGTCCATGTTAGTAGTTTTTTCAAACTATATTTTATTTTGTATTCATTTTTCGCCTCTGAAAACATTGTAAATAAACAATTGTAAATAAAATTTCCATTTGTTTATTTGTTTATGTACATTTGTTTATGTCGTTGGTTTGTTTATGTCTCATCGTTGGATTGTTCTTTCTACCTGGTAGATCGTTCTGGTTTATATTCCTTCCTCTTTTATTTTGCTTCCTCTTACTAATCTGTTTCATTTTAGGTATTAATTATTTTTTACTTTTCAGATTTTATTTTTATTTGACAATTCAAATATTTTGTATAATATTCGAATGTTTCGTCGTTGGGATCTTACGTCTCATCGTTAGGTTGTTCATGTCTTATGGTTAGGTTCTTAATGTCTCATCGCTGGGTTGTTCGCTTCATTTAGTTGATATTTATGGTTTATATTTGTTTTTATTTGTTTTATTGTGTTGTATTAATCATTTACTAATCTGTTTCTTTTCAGCTTTTCAGGTTTCTCAAGACATTGTTGGACGACACGGGATGCGTGTGATTAAATCTAAGTATCTATAAGGTAGATTTTAAGTTTTTCAAGATTTCATCGGAAGACATCGTTGGACGGTGAAGGATGCGTACGTTTAGACTTAAGTAGTTGTATGTAGTTATAAGATAGATTTATAGACTAAGTCTCATGTGCGCGTTATCTGTTCACAGGTAAGCTATCTAACTTGGAACGAAATATATCAATTTTCTATCCCCCTCGTTTACCAAATAGAACATAATTGTTCTCGCGATAATCGCGATCGTTTTTAAATATCGACTAGCCTACGCGACGTACTTCCCGTGTACTCGACAACTCCACGCTTTGTAAGTCATTCTCTCGGCTCGTCTCCGACACTCATTTCTGCCACTGTCAATCTCGTCATGCATCGAGATCTCTGGTGGCCCTCGGGCTGGTGAGGCATCTGGGGCAACACGAGGGTACGTCGACTTTAGTCGCCCTGGGTGCGAATCCGTGCACACGACCGGGGGATGGACCCTGCAGTCGGAATCATTGCAAGAGCGTACCTGACTACCCCTCTAGCACTTGGCGGTAAAGTGGTTATGTTTGCATAGAGCCGGGGTATGGAGCATGCGCGTGATTCCGACTGTTAGGTCTCGCATAGGACCCTTGGATTGACTCTGGGTGTTTCCCTGGTTCGTTGGCTGCCTTAGGTCATCCAGTAAGCTATGGCGAGGTCGGCGGCGGCAGGGTGGGAAAGGCCCGATCGGGAGGGTGTTGAGCCTGAAGTTATCTGGTACACGGGAGTGCGTCTCGTAGGCTAGTCGGTCTTTCGAATAATCGCGAAACTCGTCCTTTGTAAGACACGAAATATAATAGTGTCAGTAGAGACACTTTAATTTAATTCGCTCCAAGTTAGATTAGGGTACCTTTGATACAGGTAGCACCAGCAGGCTGCGCCACTAGGGCATATGTCGGGTCTCGATGCGTAGCCACCTCCACGTGGTGAGACCTGGTAGTTGGTATCGTTTTCCTTTAGGAAACGATATCAAGCTAAGAGCTACGCACAAAGTATAACATATGTCCTATCTCTTGTGAATTTTCACTGTCCCCTTTGGAATTTGAAAATAGAGAGTGGGCAATATCTGTTTAAATGATATTTAAATGAAGAGGGATTAAGGTAAGTAAGGGGAGGAATTGCAAGTAAAGGAAGGTAAGTACAAGGTAAGTATGAGGTAAGTAAAATTATTAAAATGTACTGCAAAGTAGAAAAAGTATTGTCTAGAGAATTGTTGGAGATGATGTAAAATCATGGACAATCGAGAATTGATATACTGGAGGACCGGGGTTCGATTCCCGTCCTTAGTTTTGATAATTCTTTTAAATATATTTTTTGTTTTGTTTTTATTTTTCGCCTATAAAAACATTGTAAATACACAATTATAAATAAAGTTTCTTAATAAAAAAATTTATTCTTTGCGCTTCCTTATGCTAGTTTATATTTATTACAAAATAATAATATTATGTAAGAAAAATACTTTTCTATAGCATTCTTGTTTACTACAGGAAATACGAAACCTATCGCTCATGTAAGTATTAATTATTAAATTAAACATCCTATAAGAATGTTGCCTATAATTCCAACTTTGCTGTGCAGCTATAAATTTTCATGAATTAATTACAAAAACTTGGCAATTTATTAATTTTCTACTGTCGAATTGATTTCTAGTATCCAGTTCGAATACAAATTTTACCGCCTGCGATCAGCGCCATCTATGATTTTGGAATAGTTTCTCAAATAGTTTACTAACTCTGATTACGTGCACCTAATATATTTTAATTTATTTTAATAAATAAAATCATAAAGTTTTCTACATTCTTTAATAAATTCAGCCGAAACAGCGGTTTTAATTAGACAATCAGCATTCATTTCTTTACCTGGCAGACGACAAATATGCAAAGGTACGCCTTTACAACGCAATTATAAAATTTCATAAATTAAACACAGAAATTGAGCGATTTGTTAATTTTTCTCCAAGTGAACAGGAGAGTGCATGGGAAATGAGAAAAAATTACAAACAAACGCCGGAAGCATTGTTGTGTCCATGCAGGTGTGCCTGCATCACGAAAAGAATGTAAGTATTTGTATTAACATAACCCTTAATTATAATTAAATAGTGCAAGTTAGAAAAGACAATATTCTGTTGAAATAAACAGGCACGTGCAACAATAGAAAAATATTGGACTCATGGAATATCATCAGCGTAGATGCCAAGAATTATACTTTATAGCGAGAAAAAATTGAAGCAGCAATATAAATATGTAAAGTATGATATGTCTATTGCATTCTAGGTCGGTTAACCATATGACATACAAGATAGAAATCTTTGATGGTCAAATAAAAATTCAGAAAATGGAGATGGTTTAGGCAGACAAAAAGGAATACAATTAATTTAGGTGATGGCCTCTTATAACAACAAGATATGGAGAATACAGTGAGATTGAAAGGTATGTTGTGTTCCTGATATAAATGAATATTAATATCAGTGGTCAAAGTCAATGATCATCGCCAATGTGTTAAATTTCAGAATGATGGAGCTGAGGTACATAAAGAAATGATAGAGGTTTGAATGAGAGCAAAGAGAAAAGGAAATACATAATATTTTGCATCAAGAAACAGAAAGGAGGCAGCATATGTATCAAGGGAGAAGGATAATAGGTAATAGTTATACAAGTTAAAGACAAACTGAATATAGAGTGTAAATGTTGTATTAAGGCACAAATGTATAGAAATATCTACAGAAATTTGGAAACTGTGAAAGCAGAAGGAATAATAGGGCTGTGGCACATGGAATTAATTGGGCCAATAAAGACAACGTTAAAAGGAGGTAAAAGGTACGTCTTTCCTGCTG